CTCCTGTTTTCCTCTCCTAAACAATTTACTTGAACTTCTTTTCAGATAGTAAAAATGTACTCGTTAAAAAAAATAACAATGACTCTTTGTTAATGTGAAATACATTAAACCACACTGAATCTTCTTTGTGAATATCACTAACCAGACTATATAAAACTTTTCCCATTTTCTGGTCCAGATGAAACACCTTTCCCTGGTTGTAATAATAATGTGTGTTAACCATAAGCTATACAGACAATTTGTGTAGGTATTAAAGGAAAAGAGTGAAACTTTCCTGAAATTCTACCACTCATATATAATTCCTACTTGGAAAAATATACTCCCTAAAGAGCCACTGATATTTAAAATGATTTTATTATTAATGTCAAGAAGTTTGCATAAAACATTAAAGTACTTATAATTTGGGGCTATTTTCTGGAGACTTGACTAAAACTTTTCCTTGTTCTTTTTCCTAACTATATCAAATAACTTCTGGGAAAATTTAAGTCTAGTGCATTTGCTTTCAATTTATTTTTAACACAGCCTACAAGGGAAAAAATAATTTAGGATTACATAACAATATTCCTATACAAACATATACAACTAAAATAAAAGTTTCATGAAACAATAATTGTCCTTAATACATGATGCTCTTCTATTTTCTCCATTCTCTTTAGTTAAAAAGCAAAACCAAAAATGTTGGTTGTATTCTATGATTCCCAACTCATTTATAGCTTACAATCTGCAGTTTAAAAATCACTGACCTAGAAGGAAAGCCCTAACTAAATTCAGTAGTCTACATTGGCTACAGTTCTCTGAACAATGATTATCATTTAAGCTTTCTCACTTCTGTTTTTCCACTCACTAGTTGCAGAGTTGAGCAGACAGTAAGAAACTACACTTCAAACAAAACCAAAAGTAATATATTGTATTATACAGCCACAAGCAAACATTAGTATTAGTAAAGTAAAACTAATAAACCAAGCAATTTTTAACTTTGCCAAATGCTCAGATTAAAAGAATCAGCTCTAAAACGACCCTATGATTCATCATGCTACCACCAATACATAATAAGATGTCTTGATAAAGTGGGCTTATGAAATTAAATTTGAGTCAATAGCTTACTCCATGATTGGAATCTCATTTAATGGTTGCTAGGAAACTAACACATCTTTCACTGAGGATAGCTGAATCTGCACCAAGTAATTCTAAGGTAGCCAATATAATTGAAGTAAGCCACAAGGCAGCAGGACAGTGAGGGGTTTTTGTTTGTTTTCAAAATAAGTCAGATTAAACTGTGAAATAGCTCAACCTAGCACCTTTCAGTTATGCTTACACAATAGCCCCCACTAGGTTATTTCCCAAGGAAACCTCTTGCAAAGATTTATTTTCTACTAATTTTTCTATGGCATAAAAACTACTTGGAATTGGTTTGGGCATGAGTGACTAACCATCAGATAGCTGCTATAGTTGCAATACTCCAAAACTTTCTAAATTTTATATATAACCTTACAGTTCAGGTTGGAAAAAAAACCCCAAAACTATGACAGAATTTTATACTACAGCATATCTAAGTATGCATGCCATTTAGTGCAGCAGGACTAAAACACATATGTACCTGCTAGTTCCAAGTTAACTCATTCTAACTAACCCATTAAGGTATCCATTAGAATGAAAATGTGAAAAATTTTAAAAGTAGAATACGTTAATGACCAAATGAGAACTTGATATATACTATGATGGCTAATTTTAGCTGTCAACTTGGCTGCATTAAGGGATACCCAGATAATGGTAAAGAGTTATTTCTGGGTATATCTGTGAAAGCATTTTTCTGAGGAGATGTTATCTGAATCAGTGGGCTGGGTCAGGAAGATCCACCTTTACCTAAAATAGGAGTGCAATATTTGGTGGGCTGAGGGCCCAAACAACAAAAAGGAAAAGGAAGGGTGAATTCTTTTTCTTTCTTCCACAATGGGACACTCTTCTGCCCTTGAATATCAGAATTCCAGGTTCTCTATCCTTTGGACTGTAGGAGTTGTACCAGACACTCTTCCTCCTTGGTCTGGTTCTCAGGCCTTTGGACTTGAACCAAGAGGCACATCACTGCTTCTCATTTCTCAAGCCTTTGGACTTAGGCTGAGTCAGGCTAGTGGCTTCCCTGGGTTCTCTAGCTTCCAGAGAGTATACTGTGGGACTTAGGATCCATAAATGTGTGAGCCACTTCCTCTAATAAATCATATAACTGACTTGCTGTTAGGAGGTGGAATCTGGTTGGAAGAGGTGGGTCACCGGGGACATGACCTGGAAGGGTGTATCTCACTCCCTGCCTCTTCCCTTTGCTCTTTGCTTCCCCGGCATCATGATGAGCAGCTTCTCTCCACCCAGATTCCTCCACCATGCCCTTCCTGCTATACAGCAGCCAATGAGGGACTGAAAAAGTAAGCCAGAATAAAACTCTCTTCCTTTAATTTGTGAGTGTTGAGTGTTGTGTCTCAGCAACAAGAAGGTAACAAAGACACTCAACCAGAGAGTCTAATTTATAGCACTAGAAATCTATGTAAGTCAGTTAAGGTCATTGTTTCCATATCTATTCAAACATGACTGAAAAACAAGAATATAATGAACTATTAATTTTATTTATTTTAATAGGGTAAATATTTCATCTGCAAATAATAATGAATATTTCAGAAGATGGAGTTAAGAAAAAATTTTACAGCTTCTGAACAATATTTTTATGAGTAAATGCATTACTACATGCATTAGTAACATATGTAGCTACAGTTGAAAAGCTACATAACACAAAACTCCCAAGTTAGTTTTCAGCTGGCAGAAAGGTGCTCACATTTTTAAAAATGAGTCTTTCCTTTGAGAAGAAACTGAAGGATTCTAGAAGTGGCACCAAAACCAATAATTAAAAGCAGGAGCCATCATTCCAATGATGCCTTGAATACACAGAAGGGTGAGATGCTCAGAAAGAGAAGTGAAAATTCATTCACAGAAAATACATAAAATCAAGCAGAGAAATCAAAGGAGTAGTCATATTACCATTTGGGATTTTTTTTTTGATAAACAGACTATTGAAACAGCATGCCTTATCAAGAGGGATAGAGGAATGAGAATGCTTTGCCTCACCGAAGAGGAGTATTTTATTACCAATACTGCTCAGAATTGCCAGATTGCTTATAATTGGTGATAACAAAAAGCAGTAACTTTTAGTAGGCTTCATTATTACCTTTAAATCATCTATTTATCCTTTCACTATTGATACTTTATTATTTATACTTAAGGTGCACTGATGCCCCAGGCCCCCTTCTTTTACTACACCTTTAACAGAGACTTCTGAAATTACATGTTCTACATTGTCCCCACATCAAAGAAAATCTGTTTAAGCTACATCAGTAAGAAAAAACAAAAAACAAACCAAAAAAAAACCCCTAAAAAACCATCTTTACCAAAAGGGACAGACAATAAATTGGACTTCATAATTATTTTCACTACTGTAATTCATACTACTGCATGTTTTTTATTCTTATTATACATTAGTAATATAAAAATTTAAGTACTAGTTTTTAAAAATCAGTCTGTATTTACCTAATAAACATACATTTTTTAAAAATGAAAATTATAAGCAAAAGAAAATGTAGAGCTATTTTATTATAACTGACATGGTGGGGGAAAATGTCCTTTAGTTACAAAGTTTTATTATTTTAGAAATCATAAAGTTGGTAGCTCAAAAATAGAAATATTTTTCTTGCCTTTACCTCTAAAGGCTGAAATTTATTTTCAACTTAAAAAACCCAGAAGATTTGTCTTAGTTCTGTTCTGTAAACCTATTATTTGGCAGTAAAATATTTTAATCCTTTTAAAAATAAAGTTTTCATAAGAAAAATAGTTCATCCAGATTTCTGCTGTTTTACTGGTCCTAGTCTAAATGTTTTGTAGGTATGCTCTGTACTTCAAGGAAATTCCTTGAAGCTAGATAAAAGTACCAACTGTGCCACTGGAAGAGTTCACTGAAGGCCAGAGATCCAACACATTAAAAACAGAGCAGCTTGGGCTGGGGATCTAGCTCAGTGGTGCTGCCACCTGCCTCACAAGCACAAGGTCCCAAGTTTGGTTTCAAGTTTGATTCCAAGTTTGATCCCCGGTACCAAAAACAAAACAAAACAGAGCAGCCTGGAAATAATATCTTGTGCAAGGCCCTAGATCAGCTCTACCTCAAGCCTTTGGGATTTTTGCTTTGTACACATGGTAGTTAGAGATGAAAAATTGTCCTCACGTCTGGCATTGCGTCTATAGTCATATGAAATGAAGGTGCTATTATAAACTATAGTTACTACGTTCACAAAGAAAAGAACTACAAAACCACAATGTAATTATTCAATTAAAAAGAGCCCATTCAAGCTTAAATAACTGAAATTTATTAAGATCTAATGAGTAATAATTTGCAAGATGGGTGAAAAAAAGGCATAGACAATTTGGCCACATAAAAGAAAAATTTAAAAAACCAGATTCTCTAGTTTCTAAGTCCTTAAAAAGTGAATGTATCTGAACATGGCAAGATTTCAAAGAAATATGATTGTGAGGTTACTGACCAACAGGGTGCTACAATAGTGGGATTTACAAAGTAGGCAGAATTAATGAACATTTTTCTCTTATATGTGACCTAGTATAAAACAGGCTCCAGGAGTTTTATTTTTAAGTTATTCACAAACGTTAATTTTGCAAGTTTACCTAGCATCTAATCATTAATGTAAAGTAAGTCAATGTTTTATTTATGAACTTAAAAGAAAACCAAAGTGTCTTTTTTTCACCTCACAATACACACTGGCTAATGCAGGGCAGAGAAGTGGGAAGCACTGTATGAGAAACACATGAGTGGGCCATGTTTTGAGATTCTAGCACTCTTCCTTCCTTTATTAAAGTTTGCAGGCCTATTTACAGCACTATTATCTACAAACAACGAGAAGAGTATCCAAGTGTAAAGGCATCTTTCTAGTTCAAACTCGAGATAAACTTACCAAATCCCTGTGCAACACCCAGTTAGCATGTAGGTAGTGAATGCCATCTAGGATTTGATACAATAGTGACTTCACCATTCCCCGAGGTAACTGAACTGGCTTCTTATTTGCTTTAGAAGCTCTGTGAAACTTGATTATATGCTGAAATAAAGAAAAAGGCAATTTGACTATTTTCCAAACAGAGAAAGAAATGCTCAAGGATTTCCAAAGATAATAAAAATATAATTTTACTGTTTACTGTTTGATAACAAATAATTTAAAAATTCCCTAGTGATTGAGGTTAAAATTCCATTTCCTAACTATCAGTATATAATAGCATCTCAGGAAATAAATGATGAAAATAAGGAATTAGGAAATAGTGTGCAATTTTTAAAGTCAATTACTTTTGGAGTATACTTGATTGAAGTTTATCTAGTAGAAATTTTCAAAAACAGAATCTGTTTTACTCTGCAGGGATAAAATGAAAAAGCAAAAAAATCAAGTTCAAGAGCTACTCTAAGAATATAGATGTGGTGCCTATTTATGACACAGGTTATAAATAAAGCAGGTGGGAAAACATTTCAGTAAGAAATATTTAGAAACATGAAAGATTCAGATGAGAAAAAAAGTGCTTGATATCATCCATCAAAGCCTTTTCTGTATAATGTTATAGGAAATCCAGTAAAACAAAGTACAGCTTTATAAGTAAATCTACTGATAAAGTTTTATTTTTTAATGTTTTAAACTCTCTTGACAGGCTTCTTCATTAAGTACTCTCAAACTTCAGGAAAATCTTCAGCTCAACTATGTCCTGCACACCATTGTACACATACCTGGCAATAAATACCACAGAAAGCAGGATCATGACTGACATTTATACATGAATATTAAGGCTTGAAATAAACATAATAAAGGAATGAAATAGCTAACATTATAGATTAATATTTTCATTTTCTAATTTCTTTTGTTATACAGAATACTACATGGACATGGAATAACTAATGATTATTGGGAAAAAGTTTAACCTTCCATTGAAAAAATATATGATTAAATTATATTTTATTATAGCAGCATTATGCTATTTTAATTTTCTTCTCAGTCCTTTTCAAGGCAAATACAAGAGTTTTTAAATAAATAAATGAAATACTTATAGTAACTTAATGATGTAGAATATTTTGTCACTTATCATAAAATATGATATGAGAAGTCTGTTAAGATTAGTAAAAACAGGTTAATATAGAGCACTTAAGATAATTTAAAATCCTGCCAGAATAAGAATGAAAGGAACAAATATATACGAGGTTAAAATAATTAATGGACTCCGCATACATTTCTTCATTCTACTCTGTTATTAGAGTACCATAAATGACTTTTTATTAAAGCAATATTTTAAAACTACAAAAGACTAGGGTGGGAGAATTTCACACCTTTATTTTCTTTATATTCCAGGATATGGAACAAATACATGTATCCATACCATGAAATCTGCATTACCTAAGTGACTTCTTTTAAAAACTCTTACTACAGCTGTTCTGTTATCTTCTGTTGCCTTACTCCACCTAATCCACTTCAATTAAAACAAGAACATAACATGATAACTGTATGGATTTTGGTAAAGTGAATTGTCATTTGCTTTTTATGAACATTAAAAGTTATTTATTTGGCTTCACTGAGTATTATCAGTAAGATGATGTTAAAGACAATGATGAACTATATGTACATATAATGTATGACCTATTGCAATGTAATTTGCTAAAGTACAATTTCTGTAATCCCATGTAAAATTAAATGTTCCATACCAGGTGGGCTAGAAATCATATTGAATGTAATTTTTACTATATTTTATGCTAGAAGGTGGCTTATTACAACTTCTATCAATAAAACAGTCTTAAGAAATTTTGTCTTAAGTCCAACATCACTTCATGATGAAAACCCTGAAGAAAACAAGTATAGAAGGACCATATCTGAATAGGATAAAAACTATCTATGACAAAGCAATAGCTAGCATAATATTACATGAGAAAAAACTAAAAGCATTTCCCTAAAATCAGGAACAAGACAAGGATGTCCACTATCACCACTTCTATTCAACATACTATTTGAAATATTAGCTAGAGCAATTAGGAAAGATATAGAAATAAAGGCAAACAAAGAGGAAAAGAAGAACTCAAATTATCATTATTTGCAGATGACGTGACACACTACATAGAAAACCCAAAGAACTCCAACAAAAAACCTCTTACAAGTAATAACCAAATTCAACAATATAGCAAGATACAAGATCAACACATAAAAATCATTGACATTTGTATGTACCAATAATGAACTTGAGGAGAAGAAAATTATGAAAACAACACCATTCACCGTAGCTTCAAGAAAAATGAAGTACCAAGGAATTGACCTAACCACGGAAGTGAAAGAGCTCTACAGAGAACTACAGTACTCTGAAAAAGGAGATTGAAGAGGACATCAGAAAATGGAATGATGTCCCCAACTCCTGGATAGGTAGAATCAATATCGTTAAAATGACCATATTCCCAAAACTGTTATACAGTTTCACTGCAGTCCCAATCAAAATACCAACAGCATACTTTACAAATCTAGAGAAAATAATCCTAAAATTCATATGGAGCCAGAAACAATTTTGGGTAACAAGAGAAAAGCAGGAGGCATAGCAAGACCTGACTTTAAGCTATACTACAAAGCAATAGTGATCAAAACAGGATGGTAAAAACAACAACAACCACCACCAAAAAAATCCCCCCAAAACAGGATGGTCCTGGAACAAAAACAGATATGCGGATCAAAGGAAGAGAACTGAAGATACAGAAACTTCCCTACACACATTCAGCTATTTGATCTTTGACAAAGGGGCCCAAAACATATGTTGGAGAAAAGATAGCCTATTCAACAAACGGTTCTGGGAAGTTTGCAGAAGATTAAAACTGGACCCTTATCTCTCACCATTTACCAAATTAAAATAAAAATGGATCAAAGATCTAAACATTAAAATAGAAACATTAAACCTACTGGAAGATAAAATAGATAAAACAAAGATATAGGTGTAGGAAAAGATTTTCTAAACAGAACCTCAACTGCACAAGAAATAACAGGAAGAATCCACAAATGGGATTATATCAGACTAAGAAGCTTCTATACAACAAAAGAATCAATCAGTAGAGTGAAGGGACAACCTACAAGATGGGAAAAAATTTTACCACCTACTCTTCAGACAGAGGACTAATATCTAGAATATAAAAGAACTAAAAAAATTAAATCACCTAAAATTAAAGACCCAGTCAATAAATGGGCAAAGGAAATGAACAGACACTTCATGGAGGAAAAAATATAAATGATCAACAAGTATAGGAAAAAATGCTCAACATCTCTGCCTATTATAGAAATGCCTGGGCCTAAGTTTCTAAACCTATTCTTATCATAGGTCAGACAAACAAAAAAATAAGCCACAACCAATATTGGGACCTATGTTCACACTAATCTTATTTTGTGGTAGAGCTCTCATCTGCAAAGAATTTTTCCTATCCAAGTGTAGAGCAACTCAAGTAAGCGTGATAATGGAATTACTGTTGATGAAAATGAAAAAAATGCATTAGAATATCAAATATCAATTGTCAAAGATATCAAATAAATGATTAATGCTAGTTTCCTATAGCAGTACACTGTACTACATTTAGTTTATAGAGCTTTTCAAAAAAAATTGCTCCCCAGAAAAATCCTATAAAAAACAAGAAAAGTAGTACATTTTATAGATGTGGGAAGCTGCAGCTTCAGGGTCATTAAAAGATTTGCCTACTGACATTTAACAAGTAACAGGTACAATCATTAGATTTCAATTTAGCCCTCCAAACACATGTATTCTCCTACAAAAGTACACCACCTTTAATCTTAAATTCCTCCATACTGTTATTATGTACTTTTATGTAATTACTTTTTTATGAAAAAAGCTATAACTGTTAATAGCTGTTTATATTCTTTAGATTCTACTGTTTTCATTAGTATCTGTTACAAAGGTAAAAAATATGACAATATCAACAAGTAATATTGAAGCCAGGTATGGTAGCACATGCATGTAATTCCAGCACTCAGGAGGCTGAGGCACGAAAATTACAAGGCCAGCCTGAGCTACACAGTGAGTTTAAGGCCAGCGTGAACCTGAGACCCTGTCTCAAACCCGGCCCCCCCTCAAAAAAAGGTAACACTGGTTGAGAATCCATAAACTAAAAATGTGAAATCCAAAATGCTTCAAAATCTAAAATATTTTGATGACATGTCACAAATGCAAAGTTCTACACCATGAAATTCTATTTCATGCACAAAATTATTTAAAATATTGGGTAAAATAACCTTCAGGCTATATATACAAGGGGCATATGAAACATAAGTGAATTTCATGTTAGACTTGGGTCCCATCCCCCTTCAGATTTTAGATTGTTTGCATATACATATGAGACTTTATACATAAGCAAATATTCCAAAATCTGGATGATCAACGTTTTATACAAAGCAAAATACTCTAGCCTTGGTAATGCATTGACCACAGTTTTATGAGTTAACTTTATTTTAAAAATATAAACCTCATAGTAGGATGAGCTCTTAATTGTTCGAAGTCACTCTTAAAAATCTGATTGAAATCAATGGCTCATGTCAATCAGCAATTCATCTTACCCAGAGATCATGTTCAGCATAGTCAAACAGAAGCCATACTTTCCGATCAGCGTGAGACAGAAACACCTTTTGAAGAGAGATAACGTTTGGATGCTTAAGCTCTCGAAGTAACTGCAAAATAAGAAACATCCATTAAAATTTTTTACAATAAAAATACGCCACTCTTTGTAATTCAATCTTAAAATCTTAATGAGCACCCACATAAAGTTGAGGTATCTGTACAGATGCTTCAGTAGCAAATGAAGAAAAACCTGTGGGGAAAAGATACAGAAGAAGAAAAATTGCCTATTTTATTGTTGTTTGGTTGGTTATTTTGTTGATCTTCTTCTTCTGGTAATATATATGAAACATTAAATTACCATTTTAGTTCTTGTCAAGTAAACAAATCAGTGGCATTAAATATATTCAATTTTGTACACACTACTAACCATTTTAGAACTTTTTCATTACCAAAACAGAAACACTGTACTCATTAAACAATACCCTTTTCCTCCAGCCCTCTGTCTGTCAGATTCCGCCAGTTTTACACACCTCATGTAAGTGGAATCCCACAACATCTGTACTTTTGTGCTTGGCTTATATCATTTCACATACTGTCTTCAATGTTAATCCATGTTATGGACCCTATAAAGACCTACTCTTTTTCATGGATGAATACATTTCATTATATCTATCTATCTATCTATCTATCTATCTATCTATCTATCTATCTATCTATCTATCTATCTGAACTTACAATGGGTTTACATCCCAATAAAGCCACCATAAGTTGAAAATGCATTTAATTAATTCACCTAGTCTGCAGAATACTGTAGTTCAACTATACAATATACTGCATGATAACAACTTTTTATACTGACCATTTGGCAGCATACTATAACATACTGCATGGAGTTAGACCAGGAAAAAAAAAAATGAAACTAAATTCAAAATATATTTTCTACTAATGCATATGGATTCTGCACGACTGTAAAAACAGAAAATTCTAAGTCAAGGACTGTTTATATGTACATTTTTAACTGTACTGTCTATATGTACAGTTATTTATTGGTGGATACTTGGGTTATTTCAAACTTTTTGGCTATTGTGAATAATGCTGTTATGAACATTAGTGTAGAAAAATCTGTTTGAGGTCCTGCTTTCAATTCTTTGGATGTATGTCTATGAAGACATTTCTGGATTATAGATTATTCTGTGTTTAACTTTTTGAGAGCCCATCAAACTGGTTTTCAGCATCTGCATCACATCCTCAACTGCAATGCATAATGATTTCAATTTATCTAGATCCTTGCCAACATTTATTTTCTTAAAATAAAAAAAAGCAGCAAAACAAAACAAAATAGCCATCCTAATGGGTATGAAGTAGTATCTCACTGTGGTTTTGATTTGCATTTCCCTATTTACTAATGGTATTGAGTATCTTTTCATGAGCTTATTGGTCATTTATACATCTCCTCGAAGAGAAATGTCTATTCAATACCTTTGTCTAGTTTTTAATCAAGATTTTTGTTTTTGATATATTATAGAAGTTCTTTATATCATCTATATATGAATCTCACCAGATACATGATTTACAAATACTTTCTTCAATCCTAAGTTGTATACGATTTGCCATCATAAAACAACTAAATTTAAAACAAATCTGTAGTTTGTAACATTTATAAATATCAAAGGCTTAAGTAAATGCAGTATTAGGAAATACAATACTCAACAACATCACATATTAAATGAGAACTAAGATTTATAACTATGATACAGTAGCTAATTTCAACCATTTATATTACATTGTAAAACTGACTAAATTTTTGCTTTTTTCCATAAAATAATAAAGAATTCATACAGAGAGAAGCATCCAAGTAGAGCATGAGTTTATGCATTGAACTTTTCTCACCTCCTAAAAGGATGCTCTTTTACTTCAAATCTTTTATCTCCCTATTTTATGATAACCAAGTGGCCCTAATAATCCATCCAGTTAAAAAGCGCCCCTTCCCCTGCCAAGCACAAACAAAAATAGCAACTACAACAAGAAAAGGCTTCTCACAAAGCCTGACTCTATGTTCTTATCAGTTAAAACAGATGTACCCAGTGCCTTCCAAATATACACAATACTGGACAACCACGTGAGAAAGTCAAAGTCTTAGAACTTACACTTTTAGTGTCTTTTACAAGAACATTGCTACCAAAACAAGAATCAGCATAGTGTAATGTTAACATTATATTCAGGGGCTCTGAAATGAACTTCACCAGTGAAGACTATGAGTGGACCAAATACGAAGTCACATATTAATTATCACTATTGAGAGTGATAACTATTTTATTTAGAAGCAAGATTAAATTGAGGTTATATATTTTTGCTTTAAGTACAATAAAATTTTCAGGAACACTAAAGCCACTATCTAAAATTGTCTATGTACCAATTAATAAACCAGGTAAATAATCTGACACTCAGGAAGAGGTGATGCTAAGGTAGTTTAATTTTAGTTCAGTGTTTTTTTTTTTTTAATACCTCAAAACGAACACATACCTAAGCTAGAAAGCTATTTCAAATCCTTTATGAAGACTGGCAAATTCCAAAGCTTTGGCAAAGATACTATCAATTATTAGAAACCTACATATATAATTATTCTTAGATGTCTCTTGAATTTTACCTCTTATATGAAGTTTTGCTCCTGTATTTAAAAAAGAACCAGTAAACATTATGTTAAACTATTTCTAGGTGCCAAGTATGGTACTAACATATAATATGCGTTATTTCATTTAATCATGAATTAATCCCATGAAATATTTATATTTACCCCCATTTTACAAAGAAGGATGCAGTAGGGAGGGGGAAGGCTAAATAATAGCCTCAAAGTCACATTCCTAGGAAATGCTTAAATGGACCAGAGCTTAAACACTTTTAAAATTAATTAACCTTTTTTTGTGGTACTGGGGATCAAACTCAGGACCTTGCACTTTCGAGGCAGGTGGTGGCACTACTGAGCTAAATACCCAGCCCTAAAATTAATTAACTTGTAAAACACAAAGCCAGTACTTGTAACTAGTATGCTCTAATATTAATATTTCTCAAGAGTTAATACCCTGGAGTAATAGTTCCCTATAATTCAGAGACACAGATGTTTTAAAAATGTACAACCAAACATACCTCTAGTGTTTCATCTATGGACTAAAATTAATGCTTTCGTAAAGCCAATCTACTTCTCCAAATATTTTTTTTTCAAAATCCATCTGATTAGCCAGACAAAAGTCAAGGAGGACAACGACTTTATTAGTGAGTTAGTAACTTTACTAGAGTTATTAAGTAATAGTGTTATAAACTAAATTATATTTTGTTAAAATTCATACAATGAAGCCCTGATAGCCAAATAGCTTAGAATGTAACAGTATTTGGAGACAGGGCCTTTAAGGACATCTGGTTAAATGACGCCATTACAGTGGGCCATAATCCAATCTGACTACTCTCTATGATATGAGGACATACAAAGAGCCAACAGGGCTGTCCTGGATGATGATCTGAAAAGCTCTTAAGAGGAAGGCCATAGCCATCTGCAAGCCAAAGCAAGGCTTCACGGAAAATCAATTCTGTGGGTACCTTAGTCTTGGACTTCCAGATTCCACAATAAAAAAAAAAACCTCTTTTGTTCAAGCCACTCAATCAATCCATGGTATTTTGCTACTGCGACCCTAACAAATACAGTAAGTAACTATTAGTACTAAGTAAGCTCCATATGTTAGGTGATTTTTGTTGTTTTGAACAGAGAAATTCAAAAAGATAGGTACTCTGGGATTGCAGATTGCTTTGGGATGGGAAATGAAAACATAGAACTGAGAGCCTCAGTGGAGAATCATCTCTCCACAAACATTCCCACTGAAAAGCTTTCAAAACAACAAGTTGCTGTGCTGCATTTGCCAGACCAGGTACTGTGGAATATGCTTTGCCAGGTCTCAGGGGTAACAAATGTTACTCCTGGTGAAGTCCTCTAATAGGAGGCAAATGCATATAAGCAGACAATTCTAAGACCGTTGTTGTAATAACTGACATCTATTGAACAACACTTATGGAGGGTAGCTAATGTCCACTGAGAGTCTGATCTAACAAATATTTTAAGCTCCTGATAAAAACTCTATGAGACATTATTAGTATTACTTTGACGAAACTCGAGACACAGACAAATTAAGTAACTTGCTTTGGGTGCAGAGGCCCAGGAGTCTGGTGAGGGTCTTATTCAACATATGCACTACTATGTGGCTGACACTCTGACACTGGAAGCATTCATTGCAGGTGTATGCCACCATGATCAGCTTCAAGAAAAAAATTTTAAAGCTATAAAACATTTTCTTCAACAAAACTATTTTAAACTGATTAAAAACTAAGGTGCACTGTTGCAAACTGATAAAAACTGAAGTGCACAGGTTGAAGTAGAAGTGAGTTATTAAAGTAGTATAGAAGCTTTACCTCTTCTTCCCAATTTCACTGTAAGTAACCTGGAATACTGATGGACCACGGATGTACAGTTGGAAAAATAACTAAACTAAAGGCATTCCAGGTCACAGAAAATTCTGAAAATGTAGAAGAAAAACTACTTATAATAAAGTGAGTATGAAGATATGCAATGTTCTTTGCTTTAGAAGAAATTCTGAGTTTTATCCTTTCTCCCTTCTACAATTACTTTCTGAGCAATGGCTATATGCTAGACTTAAGACACGCTGGCGAAGAAATGAATTAGTCTACTAGGATAGGAGCAAAAGTCAGTAAACAGAATAAAATCTTGCAATTGGCTATAAGTGTTATTAAAAAAAAAAACAAACTTGGTGTGAGAATTTCTCTGAGGGAAGGCATTAAATCAGATAATATTTGTCAGACAAGATGGAAACTTTTTTTAATCCTTAACTTTTTGTCATACACAATTCCTCTGTGTACCACTATCCACTTACAGCGAAATCTTTATCTATATTCACATTCCCTACTCTCCCTTCACCCTGAATTATTTTGAAGTAAATTCCAATTTCACCAATAAGTATTTCACTATCTACATACACCCTAAGCAAGTGGTATTCATCACAAGGATACGGGGATGGATCAACATATACAAATCAGTAACCGTAACACA